AAACACTTGAAAAGGAGAAACTGGAGCGAATGGATGAGAAAATAAGTCACAAAGTCCGTGGATTTATGCCAGATGTTACGTATTTATGATGTTACGTATTTATCCCACCCTGCGCCGGTGCAATTGCGTACCGCAAGCGATTACAGTACGCCCACGCCTAGTTCTACTGGCGTTGACATTTGTAACTGATGATCACAGGCGGGGCTCGTGATGAAAGGAAATGGGAAGACTAATCAATTCATAACTAGCACAGCTCCGAATATTGTACTGAGTTGAGCCATGCATTTCTCCTTTCAGATAGGTGACGGGTACCGAGAGATGCTCTACATATCGTTGGAACACCATGTGCGCGCCTGGAAACCACTCTAATTCCTCATGTCATTTACTTCTTAACATGCAAAATAGGGTAATGTGCTAGCGTATTTATAATGTTCCGCACTAGAACAATCATTGATGCCATTATGCATTGTGCAGTGCAGTGAGGGACTCGAGGGACGAAGTTTACTTGGTACCTGAGGGAAGAGAGAGTTCTAATTCGTGAGATAGTTTTCATCATGAACTGCTTAGTAGTTGCGTCTCACGGCCACCTTGTTTTCGAGTTGTTAGTTGATTTATTAGCACTTGTAGATATTTCCATAGACATAGAAATCTGATACGGAGGTATCCTTGTGAGGATGACTTGTGCTGAAAGTGAGAGCGCATACTTGTAGATGATAGGCCATGGGATTTGTTCATTCTTTCTGTAAGAGATTCCACAGAATGTAATTCAGTTCAATTGGAAATGATCCGCTTACAGGAGCGTTTGCGCTACTGTTGCGAATTGATGTTGCGCTAATGGGTGCTATCTTAGTTGGGGGGGGGGACCACGCGGCGGCGCGGCGCTCTGTTCGTCTCCTCCTGCAAGGCTTAGTCCCCGATGGCGCGTATTTTGAAACTGCCACGTGATGGCGAAATAGTAACTGTCCCTGGGACTAAGCCTTTGGAGAAGCAGACGAACAGAGCGCCGCGGCGTCGTGGTCCTCTCCAACTAGCATAGCACCCGCTAGTGCATTCAAAAGGGACATCTCCACGCTGACTGAACTTTGGAGAAGAGGGTGAACTTTGAGGGTAATGAAAATTGCTTACACATCCCCCTAGTCCTGAAGCCTAGTTCTAGGGGACCAGCAGGGGGAGGGGGAGGAGCATGATGGCTTGGCGCTTTTATTCGCCAACCTTGTGTGGGATTTTACAGCTTCTGCGTTGGAAGATAATAGCAGTTCTTTACGTAAGCTGTGAGCAAAAGCTTAACTATTGCGCTATCAATGGGAAAACTGTTCTCCACGATTCCAATCATTTTGCATGAAATGTTATGTTCAGTGTTCGCTTCCTACTTTTGCTGGATAGGAGAATTTTTGATCTGATGTCCACTACCACAAATATTCACTGCTGACATCTCGAAGATATATGCAAAAAACTGCTAGACCAGATATAAGTCATCTAGTCTTATTATTTCCTCTCATCACAAGTTCTACCCGTAGTTATTCAATCGAAAACAGGGTGCCAACGATAGCGGAACTAGCCGTGAGAGTACTGTAATCGCCTGCTGTACGCAATCGCACGGGCGCAGGGTGGGATAAATACGTAACATCCTAGGGAAGTGGATAACGACTCAAAAAGTCACAGAATGTATTATGCTTACCGGCCCGATATTCAATTGTGATATCAATAGAGGTGCTTCGACTAAGGCTTGCTTTAATGCGAGGAATGCCTGCTCTTGAGAATCCGTCCATATAAACGGTGTACCTTTGTTTAGCAGGTGATTAAGCGGCGTAGCTATGATAGAAAAACGCGGTATATAACGGCGAAAATATGATGCTGCTCCTAAGAACGATTTGACAGCTTTAACGTCATTTGGGCGCGGGATATTAGCAATACTGGCCACTTTATCTGGGTTCGGGCGAGTACCATTTCTGCTAATAAGGACTCCCAAGTAGCGTACTTCGGTTTGAAAAAATGAACACTTTTCTGGAGTTAATTTCATTCCAAAGCGTTTGATACGTTCGGAACACTTCTTCTAGATCCACTAGGTGTCCTTCGATTGACTGACTTGCAATTATAATATCATCAATATATGCAAAACAGCACGATTTAAGTTCACGTATAAGACTGTTCGCTACCCTCTGAAATGTAGCTGGGGCACCTTTTAGCCCTTGTGCCATTACCGTGAATTGGTATAATCCCAAAAATGAAGAAAACGCTGTGCGT